ATTCACAAAGATAAACTCAAAGTGGATGAAAGACCTCAATGTGAGACAGGAATCCATCAAAATCCTAGAGGAGAACATAGGCAGTAACCTCTTTGACATCGGCCACAGCAACTTCTTTCAAGATACATCTCCAAAAGCTAGTGAAACAAAAGCAAAAATGAACTTTTGGGACTGCATCAAGATACAAAGCTTCTGCACAGCAAAGGAAACAGTCAACAAAACAAAGAGGCAACCCACAGAACGGGAGAAGATATTTGCAAATGACACTACAGATAAAGGGCTGGTATCCAAGATCTATAAAGAACTTCTCAAACTCAACACCCAAAAAACAAATAATCAAGTCAAAAAGTGGGCAGAAGATATGAAAAGACACTTCTCTGAAGAAGACATACAAATGGCTAACAGACACATGAAAAAGTGTTCATCATCATTAGCCATCAGGGAAATCCAAATCAAAACCACACTGAGATACCACCTTACGCCAGTTAGAATGGCAAAAACGGACAGGGAAAGAAACAACAAATGTTGGAGAGGTTGTGGAGAAAGGGGAACCCTCTTACACTGTTGGTGGGAATGCAAGTTGGTACAGCCACTTTGGAAAACAGTGTGGAGGTTCCTCAAAAATTTAAAAATAGAACTACCCTATGACCCAGCAATTGCACTACTGGGTATTTACCCCAAAGACAGAGAAATAGTGAAAAGAAGGGCCATATGCACCCCAATGTTCATAGCAGCAATGTCCGCAATAGCCAAACTTTGGAAAGAGCCGAGATGCCCTTCAACAGATGAATGGATAAAGAAAATGTGGTCCATATATACAATGGAATATTACTCAGCCATCAGAAAGAATGAATACCCAATTTCTACATCAACATGGATGGGACTGGCGGAGATTATGCTAAGTGAAATAAGTCAAGCAGAGAAAGTCAATTATCATATGGTTTCACTTATTTGTGGAACATAAGGAATAGCATGGAGGACATTAGGAGAAGGAAGGGAAATACGGGGGGAGGAATTGGAGGGAGAGATGAACCATGAGAGACTATGGACTCTGAGAAACAAACAGGGTTTTAGAGGGGAGGGGGGAGGGGGGATTGGTTAGCCGTTGATGGGTATTAAGGAGGGCACGTACTGCATGGAGCACTGGGTGTTATACGAAAACAATGGATTGTGGATCACTACATCAAAAACTAATGATGTATTGTATGGTGACTAACATAACATAATAAAATTTAAAAAATAAATAAAATAAATGAGTTGGATAGTTTCCCAAAAAAGTAACATGCTAGAGAGCCATACAAGAAGGTTAAAATTAAAACCAATTACTTTTCCTTACTGACCATAGTTAACATTTCTATCAATTTCCTTCCTGTCATTTTTCTGTGTGAGCTTGTATTATGGATACGGTTCAGTGTTCTTTCATATTCCAGCATACTCTTATTTGGTAAAGGTTTTTTATAGCTGATTTTCAGGGTCTACATATTCTTATCTCCCAGAAAAGTACTACAGTACATCTAAGAATTCTCCATTTGGGAACATTCAAGTGGCATCTAATACTTTTTGATTAAAAATAATACAGTGATAAATAGCCTTGTACATAAATCAATATATCTACCATTCTAAGGCCATGAGTAAATGATGACATTATTTGAGTAATATAGGCTTAAGTCAGATCCTCTGATAACCCTGGGCACATGGACACGCACAGTATATTTCCCAGACACCCTTGCTGGTAGTGTGACTATGTGACTAAGTTCTGGCCAGTGGAATATGAAAGTGTCCTGTGGCAGCTCCCAGGAAACTTCCTTACACTACTGATGCCCTTTGCCTCTGTTTTTGGACCTTTCTCTATTTGGGATCATGGGATAAAGGCTACAGATCAAGGACCGTGGAGTGTAAAATGAGAGAAATTTTCATTACACATCCAGTGACAAAGTGGAAAAAAAGCATTAAAGTTTTATTAAATCTCTTGATGAGAGATAGTGAATCACCTTTGTTCCAATTTGTATTTCAAGAGTGAGGGTGATGCCAAAAAAACGGTGATTTATCTCTGCAGGATTTAAGAGAGATTCCCGGGTCCCCTTTCTCTCCCCAGTGGGAACTGTGCATTATTCTCTGCTACCTTATTTTAGCAACATCAAAATATATGTTAGGAAAACAATACCTTTTAAAAAGCAAATCATTTCCAGTTCCCAAGTGGTAAATACTTTCTAAAAAGTACTATATTTCTTCTTGATTAATTTTTCATTTTAGTCAGTTGTTCACCACTGGAAAAAAGAAAAAGTTCAAACTACATACAAGAGGAGAACTAGCTTAAGGACCTGTATAACTTTGAGGCAAAGTTGCATGAAATTGTCAAACCATAACTCTCCTAGGATCTTCCAGTGTTAGTTGATTAGCCAAACTAGCAGGACTATTCAGTAATGGATTCCTCTTTGGGCAATGCTAATAGAGCTCTACTCTTGATGAAAACTAACCTCAAAATTTGGGCCACATCGACTTGCACTAAACCTCCATATAATGATGGCACTTCACTTTTCAACATGGAAAATGAAAGGGAAAATTGAGGTAATTATGTCAGCAATTTAAGTAAAACAGAAAATATCCAGATACTTGAGGCAAAGGAAACTGGAGCTTTGAACTATGCAGAGATAACAATCTGAGCTCTCGATCTCACTTTTTCAATAATACGAAGCATTTTACAAATGAAGTTTACTGACCAGAGATTTCCAAATCTTATGTCTAGTACCTGTGAGCAGAAAGCCCCAAACTACTTGTCTTCCAGCTCTCTCAGCAAAAAGTGGCATTAACCAAGGTTATTTTTCAGTTCTCCTGTGTTATTCAAATTTGTAGAGACTGATGCTGTTTACCAACAAACAATCAGGCAAGATATTCTCACAAACATGAAAAGGTGACATGTTTATCCAGTTTCCACTTCCTTTGAGCCTCTGAAGGAGATGGGCCACCATCACGAGAAATGAATAACAGCTATCAGAGATTCTCCCTTTGTCTCCCACTAGTGAACTCATTCCCACTAAGGAGGTGCCTCTCCTCCTAGCCTCCAGTACTTCCTTTGCCACATTTGCCCCCAATATCTGTGCTTTCCTGTTTTATGTTCTTTACTGCTCTGGCCTATTGTCACTGTTGATGTCATCACTCACTATGCTCCAGGGCCAGCCCTGAGGAATGTGGGCCCATCAGTACTTTGATGCCAAGCCTCCTTCTGCCTTGTTTCTCCTGATGCTATAGGATAATTTGGCATGACTTTGGAGCTCATCACTGTCCACCTACTCGTGGCCCTATCTTTTTTCTATTTGATCCATATTATTAGCTAACATAAAAGAGGACCCTCTGCTCATAAGTCCCTACCTTTAGACATTTAGTGTTTCAAAATCATTGCAATCACAGACTGCCAAATTTTGTAATATTTTTATTAATTCATTCTGTTACTGTTACTAGATTGATTAGGACTTTTGATTTTCAGAAGTGCCAGACATACGGATGGTGGGTTTTCAAGTTTACCAGCTGTGATGTTTATTTTGTATCAACTTGACTAGATCACAGGTCACCAGACATTTGGTCAAACATTATTCTGGGTGTGTCTGTGAGGTGTTTCTGGATGAAACTAACATTTGAATAAATGAGTAAAGCAGATTGCCCTCCCTGATGTGGGTGGCCTCATTTAGTCATTTGAAAGTCTGGATAGAAGAAAAAGGCTGAACGTCCTGTGACTAGGAGAGAATTGTTTCCACAGGACTGTTTTTCAAGCTGGGACACTGGTTTATTCCTGTCTTTGAAACTGAATGGAAATAATAGCTCTTTTTTGGTCTTAAGATGCTAACTTTCAGACTGGAAATACACCATCAGCTCTCCTGGTTCTCAGACCTTTGGATTCAGGCTAGAACTACACCACCAGCTCTCCTGGGCCTTGCTGACTGCAGATCTTGAGACTTGTCAGCCTCCATAATTATGTAAACTAATTCCCTAAAATAAATCTCTTTATATACAGTACATATATCCCATTAGTTCTTTTTTCCTGGAGAACCCTGACTAATACAACAGGTAGTCCCGGCATTTGTTTTATTTACTACCTACCTTTTTTTCTAAATTAAAAATTTGGATTGTTTTATATTAAATGTCTCCCCACTTGTAAATAATTGAGGAACCTCATTCTCAAAAGCAATTGATCTGTGATCGACTTGCTTTTTCCCTTATAAATATGGAATGAAAGCCAACGTGTACTAGCTTAATAGCCTCCAAAGTCATAATAGAAGTCTCTCCATCCTGTTATAATACTCTTCAAGTGTTCTGGAAATCCTTCAAATTATGCCTCATGTGTGTTCACAAACAAGTGTCTCCCATGGACTTCTTCTCCTGCTCTTTTCTCACTTCTAGAAGTTTACTACCTTACATTTTCCACAGCTGACAATGTCCCGTCCTGAACCATCATTTCTGTGATGCTCCCAAAGCTAAATGCCAGCACTTGAAGATCCAGACAGTATTCATTTCTGTAAGATTAGATTCTTCCTGAGTCAGGAAACGCTTTTTTCCTCAACTCTGTGTCACTTCCCAAAACAAGGGACGACAGCCGGACCCTGGGAACTGTCATGAGAGCCTGTGAAACTCTAGGCAGAGGCTGAGCTCCTTGTCTTTCCAGTTCTGACTTTCCCCTCAAAGTTTTAAAAATTATAGGCTCAGTGTTAGTCAGTGCTCAAACTCAAGGTAAAGTACACTTCTTTACCGTCAGCTGATCGGAATATGTCTCCTGACACAGAGCCGTAACCAGGAAGCTCAATATGGAGAGAACAAACTTCATCTAGCTTCAGAGATCACTGCCTTACCCTGTTGCATTAGGTAGCTTATTTTAAGTTCAATCTTTCTTAAAGTTTGTGAAAGTAGGAAGAGAATGTTAAGAGTAGGAAAGAGAAATCCCTTTTAAAAAACCAGGTGACTATTTTAAAGATATTCATTTGTAATTATTTTATTAAACAATCATCTTTTACATGTCATCAGACCTTACCCCTGAAGTACAAAAAAAAAAAAAAAAAAAACAGTTTGAGGTATTAAAACTGAAGGAACATTTGCACATATTTTGTAAGGCTTTTACACTATAGTAACCAAAATATTCAGTGCAACTAAATACTACATATAATTGCAGGTTGAGAAGAACAAAGCTATATAAAACAAAATGGGTTTGTCTCATTATAGCTCTGATCCTCCCATTTATGGTGACAGGGTGGCAAAAAAATAATGTGAGATGTAAGTTGCTTGCAAAATAATGTGTCCATTATTCAATTTTTAAAAAGTGGTATATAGAATGTAAAAGGTCAACACCTGAAACAGTTGCCATCCCCAAAGCACAAAATCAAACTGACCAACTGGTTTCAGTGATAAAGTCCTATTCACAGGACTTAATCCTCAGATTAATGTGAATTCACTTAAAGGATCTGAAATAGATTTACTAGACTATTTTAACACTATCCATGTACATATAAGGTCACATAAGTCGCATCCATGGTCCATACTTTTTTTTTTTCTGTAAGATTTTTCCCTTTAAAGTATAAAATAAATTTTTAATACAGATAAAGTTCAGAATGGTCACTTCAAAGGGATTTTGAAGTAACACAGGAAAGAGGAGTTTGGCTTTTTAAGTGTTAGACTTTTTTAATATTGGATAAATTATCCAAAGACTTTCCAGATCCCATTTCACTTTGACTGTATCTAAACCTTGAAAGAGAAAGTTGAGGGAATCATATAACTAATGATTATAATATAAACACTTTCTTCTGATCTGTTCAGGCAAATTGGAGAAAAGGTGTTTTTTGATTTGATGATTGATTTAATTATTAATTTCAGAGCATAGCTACTTCATTTGAAACAAATTTAAAATTGCATAATGATTTGCATATAATATAGTAAATTAAGTTCTGAATAATGGGTCACAAATGTTGAATAGAAATTAGTCTCTACAGCAGTGGTTACAGGTAACATAGCACTTCAAGTAGCCACACATTCTAGGTTTTGATGTTTGTCTCTGAAATGTTCTATTCAGTTGAGTACATAGGCTGAAAAAAGGGAAGGTTGATTTTTTTTTTTTTGTAAGAACATAGGTTGCTTAAAACTTGGCTTTTAAAAAATTTTTGCAAAACTGATAAAGGACCACAGTTTACTACATAGGAAAATACTGTTTATTCCATGGCAATCATGATACTTTCAAGAAGACACCTGAACGAGTAGGGGTCCTCCAGATTCTTTGTTTAGCCAGCATCAGAAATTTGTGGGAAAAGGACATTTTTTTCATAGAGACTCCAACAATGTTCTTCAAAACACACTTACCCTGCTTCCTCTTTGTCATAGGGGGGAAAAAGGGAAGCTAGGTTGTTAAAAACCCCCATGGGAACCCTACGTGTATGTGTGGGGACACTGTCCTCTCCCACAGCGATGGTTTGTTTTCCCATGTAATGGCTCTTGAATGAAGAATAATGATCTTTATAGTTGCCTCCCTGCTGGAAGCACAGCTGCAAAAGCAGCTGAGCTGTTTACCTGGGAGGAGAGTCAACATGTGCTGATGTTCTCCCTTGAACCAGGAGAAAACTGATCACAGCCATTTCTATCCAAATGAATAATGATCTACGGTCACCTAGTATCCGTTAGAGGTTAATGACTATTTTTACTGTTTGCTACACAAGTAGATGCTCCAGGTTAAGATACATTTCCCAAGAGTTTGTTGTTTTGTTTTGTTTTTTTAATGAATGTCATCAGACATGGAAATCAGCCAAAAACACAGATCATAGAATAAGTAATTAAATCTCAGGTGTCCAAATTGGCCAGTCCAATTAAAACATATCCCCAAGCTGGAATTATCTGGAATAAAACAAAAAAGTAACTTTCATTTTAGGACCACATATACAAATCTAAATGCCATCACACTGGGTTTTAACGTTTAGGGGGAAAAATGTAACAAATGTATTTTTTCTATGCCCATCTTTTATCTCTATAACAACCAATAATCAAAAGAAAATTGAAATAAAATGAAATATGACTGATCCTGTAAGATCTAAGTCCTGAATATTGTTTGCTTATTGTCATTATACCCATTGGTGCCATATAAATCGGGCTGACCACATACATAAGTGACAAGAACAGTATCATCAAAATTCTTTCACTATCATCATGCTAATGAGCTACACTGAAATCTATCAAGCCTACAAATATCAAATGCTGGCTGGCATTCAGTTTGGATGAAACACTGACCAGTCACCCATGGTATGGTCAGTGAATCCTTCTCCCAAGAGGAGGGACCTGTTACAGTCAGTCAAAGACTGGGTTTCTTATGCCATTCAACACCAAACTGGTGGGTGCCTTTCTATGTAGAAGGGCCAGTGAGCACAGGAGAAGGGAAAAGCTCATGACTCCCAGAATGACCATTCCTGATATCAGTGCACTGGTGACGGCATTCAGTTGGAAAGGAGGTTCACTTGGAGAACCTGCAAGCAATAAAATACACACAGTGGAAAGATCCAATATCAGACTCATCTCACCTTATCCCAATTTATACCTGCAAAACATCTGTCTTTAGTATCTTGTAAAGTAACAGCATGACATTGATTCATGCTATAATCTATTTGACTATAATTCAATCCAATAACCAAAGGATCATGTAGTTTAGAGGTCTGGTATCCCCTGGGCTGCCAAAAAAAAAAAAAATTCTTCTATAAAATGCAATAAAAATTGACCAACAGGTCACATATGAGTTCAGAAGTCCTCAGTGAACTGTTATGTAAAATATAACAAACTTGTAAAATCAGAACTCATCATACTTAGTTGTTTAGAGTTTTGCAACTAATCATCAAAAAATACTTAAAATTTTTAAAAATCATACTTTTATTTTCAGTATATGTTCATTATCTTACCAAGCTGTGAATTGTTGGTTGGAGTCTCATCTGGGAGAGAAAAGAAAAAGAAAAGTGATATTGTAAATCTAAACATTTACTTATGTTTATTATAATTCTGTGATTACTTTTTACCTACATGTGGCCTCACCTTCACCCACAAGATCCATGGGTAAAGGAATCATGAAAATCTTCCTAACCCATTATCCTTTCCCATTTTCTGTCCCACATGTCTGAGATTTTATTATCTATCCATTCCACAAGCCCACACCCTGCCAGTGCCCTGGGCATACAAATGTAATCGCAAAATATACTATACGATATTCTTTCCTGCTAACCTTGCTTTGTCATTATCTCTTTAGTCAGGTTAGTGGGAGCAGTAATTGTTAACAGCTATTACATTTTTTATAGGCCTATAACCTGCCATTTGTTATTTTGTTTTAGAGAAGTATTCATTATTTAGTGCCGCTCTATTTTAAGTGTTGCCAATTTGCCCATCATAATCTGCAAAAACATCATTTTAACTTCCAAAAAGATAAATTCACACTTAGTAACTAAACGAAAGGAAAACACGATTCCTAATCTTGAGTTGTAGGGGTTTTTGCATCTGTTAAGTAAAAGATGAAAGCTGTTGATTTTTTACTTATCCCTGGCAAACATAATAATGGATGCAATGAATGCATTCACCTGGTTTCCCAACTTGTGTTAAACGCATTTGGTAATCGTATAGCCATTAACCCCTTCTTCTACAATTAGTGGATTTCATTTTTGTTCTTAAATATGTAGGTGTGTATGTGTCTTTGAGTGTCCGTTATCCGAACTATAAAACGTGTGCAGTTGACTGTTTGATTTGGGAGTATAAATATTATTACAATTAACATGTGTGTAATGCCATACAGTTTACAAAGTGCTGCTTCATGTCATTACATTTTGTCCTCGTAACAGCCATATGGTTTCGCCATTATTGCTACCCCCATTTTACAGATGAAGAAATTTCCATCTGTCCCAGGCTCCATGATGAAGTAAACATATGTTTAAATAAAAGTTCAGTTTCAGACTCCTTTTTCTAAAATAATATAAACTAGTCAAGTATGGAAAATATTTTTAAAGATGAATATATCAAGCTATGAAACCCCAGGATTAGTATTTGAAACAACTGATTGGGAGAATCTGGTGTGATATTTATAAGCCATCTGATGCCATTTCTTTTAAGACATTTGAGTCTCAGCAGAAATGATGATTCTGCTGTTTGAGCCTGAAGTACAATGCTCCAAATTAATAGAGTGCTTATTTATAGTATTCTTTAGAATGGTGTAGTGCATCACTATAGAACAAAAAGAAAAAAAAAAGCACAAATTTTCATTATAGGACACCCTTAGGAAAACCCTAACGTCCAACCAACACTATTTTATAAAGACACTTGTTTCTCATAGAAATGGATGGAATGAATGAACTGTGATCAATTCTTCCAAAGGATTCCCAAGATAAGCTGCCTCACTGGAACATGGAGGAGAATATATAATGCTCTAAAATTCCTTTTTCAAAGTTATTCTTTGTTTACAAATCACACTTATTTGCTTTTATTTACTTATTTATTTGTTTATTTGTTTATTTATTTTTAAGGCTAGAAAGCTCCTTCCTCCTACATGTCCCAAATTAGGTGAAAATGCTAGGACTGGCTGCCCGCACTATTTTCTGCATCCTGAAGTTAATTAAAGAAGTCAGAATATTCCCTCCTCTCCCACATTACCACCAACACTCGTGTAAGAACCCTGCTCCAGGTGTCACTCACGATGACGGGGCTATGGACAAAATTTTCACATGAGACAAACTGTCAAATGAGCCATACCAGCCACAGGTTCTAGGACTCTGAAAAACTGCAAGCGTCCTACTTCTGGCAGGGGGCTAAAATCAAAGCATGTACTATTTGAATAGTATTTGGAATTGCATTTGATAGTGGATAAAGGTAGAGAGAATCACTTTATCTAGTTATTTCCGGTTTCCTTCAATTTCCAGTATCCTGCAATTTGGTCTAGACCGAACGGGGAGGTAGACATTTTCTAGGAGACTTTTTTCACCACACACTCTGTTTTTTTTTTTTCTCTTACACGCACTTGGTCTTACCATGTACATATATGCTAAAAGAAACCTTCTGGAATTAGAACAGGTTGGAATACTAAACTTGGTGGGCTCTTCAAAAAGCATGCAGCTAGCTGAGGACCCATAGGAGGAAAGTGATAGGAGCAACACCATGGCTGTTGGAAAGCCAGAAGGAGCAGATAAATTCTTTTTCTCTGCTTTTCTCTCATATAAGTAGTAGAAATGGAAAAAGTAAACATTAGTGCAAAGATATGTACAGAATAAATATTTTTCCTTTCTTAGCACCAGCGAACTATTTTTTAATCTTCAATTACCTACCTATATAGTAAAATGAACCACATGTTTCAAATTCAGAACTTCCAATTTTTTTTGTTTGTTTGTTTAGAGAGAGGAAGGGAGAAGGGGCTGAGGGGCAGGGAGAGAGAGAATTTTTTTTAAAGATTTATTTGTTTTATTTGAGAGAGAAAGAGAGCAGGGGATGGGGCAGAGGGCGAGAGAGATGATCATCAAGCAGACTCTCCACTGACTGCAGAGTCTGATTCAGGGCTTGATCCCAGGACCGTAAGATCGTGACCTGAGCCAAAATCAAGTATTGGAAGCTCAACCAACTGAGCCACCCTACCGCCCAAGAGAAAGAGTATCTTAAGCAGACTCCACACCCAGCACAGAGCTGACCCAGGGCTCGATCTCACAACCCTGAGATCATAACCAGAGAAATCCATTCAAGACAAGTCCAACTGACTGAGCCCACTCAGGCACCCTGAGAATTTCCAAACTTTTTACCCTCCATTGTGTTATGTTTGTTAATAATCCAGGTCTACTTTTGAACACTAAGATTCCTGAGAGCAAAGACTATGGCCTGTTCTCTAGTGTATTCCCAGTTCCTAGCAGAGTGCCTGTCTCATGTGGAGGTTTGAATGAATTATTAACTCCTCATAAAACTCAATGACATGAGTTGAATATCTTGGCTTGGACTTCTCCATTGGAATTTATGTAATAAAACAATTAGGTACTATTGCTTTCCAGTACTTGCAATTGTGAATTTCCAGAATTGTACCCCATGATAAGCATTTCCCTACTGAATAGTTTTACCATGTGGGGGGTGTAAAATAAGAACACTTCAGGAGTTTTGAGGATTTGAAACTTTGAAGATGTGAATATTTTCCTAAATCAACCAACAAAAGGATTTACAATGTTGGGTAAAATAACCAGAATGTGTTTGATTTCATTAAAACAAAATAAAAGTACTGATCTTAAAACTTATTAAACTTGACCTAAGTTGGATGTCTAAGGGGAAAGGAGCGGTTCAATGAGTAAACAGAGCAAAAATTCCAAGTACCAGAGAGCTTTGAAGAGAGCAAATCAAGCCTGAAATTGGACTTGTCTATATAAAATCGGCCACAGGACCTGGAGAGATAAATTCTAGCTGACCTAAGGTAAAAATAAAGTGAAACTGAGGGAAAAGAAGTAGCCCTGGTCATTAAGCTATGTTTACATAGGATTTTCCTGTGGCTGGATATGGCTTGATTTCTGAGTTCTGTATTTATATAGAATTTAAAATAATAATTTTTACATTATGATACTATAGTATCATAATGTAAACATTATTATATGTGGTCCTCTACACAGTGAGGTCACCATGATTGCCCAGAAATGAGCACCATCATATGGCTATTTATCGAAATTATAAAAAATAAATCCACAGAGAGTAAGAGAGGAATGAAGGGCATCTGGAAGGTTTGAACATGATTCTTTGGGGGCTTTGCCGGTGAGGAGACTGAGTTCACTAAGACAACACTACTGTGTTAGAAAATGAATGTTGGGCGCCTGGGTGGCTCAGTCGTTGGGCATCTGCCTTCGGCTCAGGTCATGATCCCGGGGTCCTGGGATCGAGCCCCGCATCGGGCTCCCTGCTCCACGGGAAGCCTGCTTCTCCCTCCCCCACTCCCTCTGCTTGTGTTCCCTCTGTCGCTGTGTCTCTCTCTGTCAAATAAATAAATAAAATCTTTAAAAAAAAAAAAAGAAAATGGATGTTATCCTTGAGGTAAAAATGGATTGAAATTGGAAAGGAAGAAATTCAGGCATCACATCAGAGGCATTGTGCTCAAGGCATTAGCTGTTTGAGGTTTGAGCACAGATATCTGGGGCGAGTGAATATGGTGTAGGTGAAACCTACAAACCTGCACAGCTGGTTGGCTATGGTAGAATTAGAAACTTCTACTTGGTTAATCTTTACTGGGATTTGGTGATCTTAAAAATGTTGGTCTTTGTAAAAACTTATCTTACACTAACAAATTAATTAAAATGTGTAATATCTAAATTTGATTTGGCCCAGGTAAGAAGGAAGCAAGGAGGTTAATAAGGAGGAAAAGCCACCTACTCAACATAGGCAGAGATGCCACTTTCAAGGGTTTTTTTCTCTTATATAAAACTGACTCTAGATATGCTCCATAGAAATAAAAATATTTTTTATTGTGCCTATCCAAAAGCATTCCTAATTATTGGCAACCAGAGTTGAGTTTCCATGCAGTGTAATTCTATGAGCTATTTCTGACAGCCAGACAGAGATAAGAATTGGGCCTTTCACAAACCACAAATCGGTCATTTTCAAACCATTCAAAACACATACCAAACCTCAGGGAGTGCAGACGAAGTTGGAAACTTCATATTTAATAAATTTCTGCATTATTTTTAAAAACACTTTAGCTTGTTTTTAAATAATGCTATGTCTACACAAACACCGAGGAGTGAATAATTCAAGCATTTGTCTGAACTTTTTAGGCCAAAACCATTCTTTGCTTCATTACCTATTTCAGGCAAAACTTTAACAGGACGCATGGGAGAAAAAGTAAGGATAATCTATTCTGCTTTTTTTAAGACAAATTTAGAGCTATAGAGTAAGAATCTAAAAGGCAACTTCTTCAAACCCCTCGTTTTAAAAATGAAGAAATATTTGCCCAGAGAGGTAACATAAAACCCCATGTCATGTAGCTTGTTTAGACAAAAGCTGGAGCTAGAACCAGTTTTTCTGACTTAACTTTGTGTTGTTTACCCTGCCTGTCTGTTGTACCCAGTTGATTCTGAATGTCTCCGGGTTCACACTGATATAAAGCAATAGCCCTTTGGAGAGTGTGTGCACATGTACATGCATGCACAAATATTTGTATATACAAGAATATATGTGTATAAGCAGTCGTGTCTACTAGATTCATGACCATGACTGGAAGGGGTATGTAATATCCAGGATCCTGAGAAGAAACAAATGGTACTCAAACTGGGCATTTTAAGAAAAGTTTAATAGGACTATTTATAAAGATATAGGGAATTCACAGAGAAAGTCAAGTTCCCTGGGCTACAGGAAGGTTTCTGGCTCTGTGGGAAAAGTTGTCTGGGAGGAACCCTGTGAACTTCACTTTCCATCCTCTGATAGCACCACCTACTGGCCAAACCCAACCAAACGCTGGATGGCAAAGCAGTGGTCGGGGGCAGTTCACACAGGCCAGTCTTCAGGGGCAGAGAGCAGGGCAGGGAAAACGGAGAGTGAAACATGTCCAGCACGGTATATTTGTATACTTGTGTGTGTGTGTGTGCGCATGTGCAAAAAGGGAACTACTGTAAAGACAACATTGCCCTTTGTGTGAAAGTTGAGTAAACAGGAAACTACTGTGAAATTAAAGTTGCTTAGCAGTTTATCTTGTTTCACAGTTAATTAGTGCTGTTTAGAACCCACTTTGAGTTCTCCTTAGAAGCCAAGTAATAAGCCATTTTGGAACAATCTATTACTACACACAAAAGGAGGAATGTTCCTACCACTCCGAGTAATGATGGGACCAGCAGAGAGGATGGCGTTTCCGGACGTGCTCCGGGGACTCCAAGTGGTCCTCCTCCCCGCATCTCTCCTTTCTCTGTGGCTGCAAACCTGAGGTGTTAATGAAAACAAATGAAATTCCACACCGGCACAAAATTGGTTCTTTATGGCCATTTGGAAAGCAGATTCTTTTGGAAGAGATACCACATGTTTAATTTTATTCATTTACTTCTGTGCATTTATTTAATTACTCCGCATATAACTGCTACAGTGTTTCTTATTCTGGCTTGGGTCACATTTCTTATTTCCTCCCGTTATAATTGTGCTTTGCCTCATTAATTTACATAGCTCAATGGTTCTCCTGAAAAAGAGCTGTGTTTATCAAACTTTTCTACTTTTATTTCTCTCAAGACTTTAATAAATCTTTTCCTGAAATTTTGGTCAGCGCAGAGTCAAGGTAATGTGGACTCGCCATTTAACCCCATCTGATATAGCTAGTTAGGACTAAAGTAATCAATTGTTGTGAAGAAATGCATGAATTTGAGCATAAATAAAAACGTATGAAAGCTATTTCAAATTTTAAAATGTGCCTTCATTTTTCTCAGGATAATATTGATATGACCTTAGGGAGACTGTCAGAAATAGATATCTTTTTTTATTCACTAGGAAATTGATTAATATGATGGCTGTATGCAATTCAGATCCACACCTATTTTATAACTTCTAACTTGTAATCCAAGGGATTCCTGGGCTATCAGTCCCAAATCTACCTTTCTAGAGCTGGCCCTACCCCCTCCCTAGGTTTTCCAATCATCCTCTACTCTGTCCCATAACCTTACTGAAGGTCTGGTAGTTCCCTGGTTACTCTGTCTTATGTGTCTGTGAATTTGGTCAGCCTTTGGAATGGGGTTTCTCTCGCACTCTTGATTTTGTCCCCTTGGGGTTCATCCATCTTCAAAGTCACACCCCGGGTTTCATGTCTTCCATCAAACTCCCAATCTCCCCTGTTCTTGCTCTCTCACAATGGTGAATACTGCCTCTTACAACAACCCATGCATGTGTCTGTACCATAACATTTTTGTCTTATTTTCTTCCATGACTGTCTCATGGTCCTCAAAGATCAGCTAAATGAGTTCAGAATTTATGCACACATGTCTGTTTTCCCAATATTATGCTTGGCACAAAGTAGGCATTCAACAGATCTCTACTGCATGAATAAATAAATAAACCCTACCTCAAACTGCTTGGCCTGATGCATATTCACTTTCTATACAGAAATTAGTCCCTAACACTGGATAACCTTTCAGCTTAGATCAATTTGACAATTTAGAATAAAGTTGCTAAAAACATACAGGCATAAGGAAGGGGCAGTCATCAGCTCTGCAGAGCTTGGTAACACAGTGCAGGAAGACGGTGGACATTTTCTGATTCTTGTGTTTCACAAATCGGAACACTTCAAAGGAAAACCGGCCCTGCTGGCTTCTGCCATTTTCAATGATGGTGGTCTGAGGATCTTTGTCACAGCTACATTTTAGGGAATGTGAAAACAGGATGTTACTGGAGATTACCAGCCCACTGGAAATTGTAAACTAATTTCTGCAGTATTAAGACCTAACAAAATCATGCCATGTTACAGACATTTAATAAGAGCATAAGCTAACTCAACAAATACGACAAAAGTGACCTAGATAGTAAAGTTTAAACAGATCAATTTCTGATTATAATAGTACCATCAAATTTTAGAGGGATTATGCTTTCATAAGGTTCAAAAATCCAAACAGTATGAAATATATGTAGTGCAAAGTCTCCCTCCCATCATTGCCCTTGTCTGCACCATTCTACCTCCACATTCAGATCTGCCAGAGGTGACCTCACTTGCTACTGCATCCTGCCAGGGTATATACATAGAGAAGCTGAAGCAATGAATTCTTGTTGTTTCCTCCTTAAAAAAAAACAATAGCACACTATCTACATTGTTTTGTCCCTTGCCTTTTAAAAAATTTAGCAAGGTATTTTAGGGATCTTTCCATATGAGTATTTAGCAAGCCACCTCATTCTTTTTGCATACTATGCAGTATTCCATCACACACATACACCAGTGTTTACTTAATCAGGTCCCTACTTACGTACCTTTGCATTGTTTTAAATCTGCTTTTTACAAAGTAATATGAATAGCCTTATAATACATTATTTTGAACATATGCAGTTATCTGTACAATATCATTTAATAGATTTTGCCACATTGCCCTCTATAAATATTGTTGCATTTTGTACTCCCCCAGTAATGTTTGAAAAAAATCCTTATTTACCCCAGAGCTACATCAACGAAGTGTATGGAAAAAAAAAATGGATTGTTCACTATTGGGTAGGAAAAATAAACTGTCACCATATAATTTTAATTTGCATTTTTGTCAGTGGAAATGACTATGTGCGTCTTTTCATATACATTAGAGCCATCTGTATCTCTTTATCTGAAAATTGTTTATGTCCTTTGCCTAAATTTCTATTTTGTTGTTGGCTTTTTCCTTCTGATTCCTACAGGTTCTTTATGTGCTAGGAATACTAGTCCTAGTCCCTTGTTTGTTATATAAGTTGCAAATTATTTTACTTTGTTGCTTAGCTTTGGACATTTCTTGAGTGTGCTTGTGTGTGTGTTCATACATACACAGGAGCTTTATTTTTATGTTAAATTTTCAATATTTCATCATATGGCTTTTAGTAAGTCATATCTTGTTTCATTGTGCTTTACTTTATTGTGCTTGCAGAGATTGTGATTTTTACAAATTGAAGGTTGGTGGCAACCCTGCCTCGAGCAAGTCTAGTGGCACCATTTTTGCAACAGCATTTGCTTACTTCCTGTCTCTGTGTCACATTTTGGTAATTCTCACAATATTTTAAACTTTTTCATTATTATTATATTTGTTATGGTGATCTGTGATCAGTGATGTTTAATGTTGCTATTGTAATTTGCATCCCCCCAAACTATGCCCCTGTAAGACAGTGAAGTTAACTGATAAATGTGTGTTCTGACTGTTCCACCAACCAGATGTTCCCCCATCTCTTTTTCTCTCCTCAGGCCTTCCTATTCTCTGAGATGCAATAATTTTGAAATTAGGCCATTTAATAGCCCTACAATGGCCTCTAATTGTTCAAGTGAAAAGAAGAGTCACACATCTCTCATTTTAAATCAAAGCTAGAAACAATTAAGCTTAGTGAGGAAGGCATGTTGAAAGCTGAGACAGGCTGAAAACTAGGCCTCCTGCACCAGTTAGCCAAGTTGTGAAAGCAAAGGAAAAGTTCTTGAAGGAAATTAAAAGGGCTATTCCAGTGAAGACACGAATGATAAGTGAAACAGCCTTATAACTGATATGAAAAAAGTCTTAGCAGTCTGGAGAGCAGATCAAACTAGCCAAAACATTCCCTTAAACCAAAAGCTAATCCAGAACAAAGCCCTAAATCTCTTCAGTTCTAGGAAAGCTGAGGGAGATGAGGAAGCTACAGAAGAAAAGTTTGAAACTCGCAGAGGTTGGTTCATGAGGTTTAAAGAAAGAAGCCGTCTCCATAACATCAAAGTAGAAGGTGAAGCAGCAAGTGCTGATGTAGAAGCTGCAGCAGGTTACCCAGCAAGTTCACACGATGTCCATTCTGCAACCCAAGGATCAAGGAATAATTTTGACTTCAAGTCTTATTATTTAAGAAATACATTTTGTAAGGCTATAGGTGCCATTGATAGTGATTCCTTTGATGGATCTGGGCAAAGTTAATTGAAAACCTGGAAAGGATTCACCATTCTAGATGCCATGAAGAAGGTCAAATTATCAAATGACTGGACTTTGGAAGAAGTTGACCCCAAGCTTCATGGATGACTTGGAGGGGTTCAAGACTTCTATGGAGAAAGTAATTGCAGATGTGGGGAAAATAGCAAGAGAACTAGCAATTAGAAGTGAAGTGTGAAAATGTGACTGAATTACTGCAATCCCATGATAAAACTTTAACAAATGAGATATTTCTTATGGATGGGCAAAGAGCGTGGTTTCTTAATATGGAATCTACTCCCGGTGAAGATGCTGTGAAGATTATTGAAATGACAACAAAGGATTTCATATAAAAACAGTTGTTAAAACAGCAGGGTTTGAGATGATTGACTCCAGTTTTCAAAGAAGTTCTACTGTGGGTAAAATGTGGATAAAATCAAACAGCACTGCATACTACAGAGAAATCGTTAGTGAAAGGAACAGTCAACCAATGTGGCAAACTTCATTGTTGTCTTATTTTAAGAAATTGCCACAGTAATCCCAGCCTTCAGAAACCATCCTGGTCAGTCAGCAGCCATCAACATTGAGGCAAGACTTTCCACCAGCAAAAATATTATAACTCGCTGAAAGCTCAGATGATGGTTAGCCTTTTTTAGCAATAAAGTGTATTTTAATGAAGGTATGTACATTGTTTTTTAGGCACAATGCTATTGCACACTTAATAGACTACAGTATAATTTAAACATAACTTTATATCCCCTGCAAAATCAAAAAATTCAATTGACTCATTGTATTGAAATGTCCTTTACCGGAGTGGTCTGGAACCAAACCCACAATATCTCCAAGGTCTGTCTGTATTTGGACCAAAGATGGATCATTCTTACTCCAAAGTTTTAAAAATATTTCTTATGTTAATATGGTTTCTTCTGCCACTTTTAAAGCTGTAGTTTTTGCATTTAAATTAATAATCTATTTAAAGTTTATTATGGTATATTAAATGAACTATAGATCCAGGACAATATTTTCCTCATGGTTATGCACTGTCCAACACTATTTTTAAAATCTCTGTTTATTCTACTGATTCATGATAGCACAGTCTATCATATCGTAAATTCCCATATGTTTTGGATCTATTTCTCAACTCACTATTCTAATCTTTGTCTATGTGGCTAATCTTGCATAATCACATTCCTTTAATAATTTTAGAACGAAGTATAATATCTGGTAGGGCCATTTCCATGTTTTGGGGTATTTTGTGGATTTGTTCTTCCCTTTTCTTGATTAGGTTAACCTGTGATTCTCTATTTGTTTTTTCAAAGAACTTTATTTATTGCAAAATTTTGGTTCATATTTCCAATTCTGATCCAAGTGTTATTTAAGTGTTTTAAACTTCTACATAGTGGTGACTTTCTGTTTTCATATTGTTAAGCATTGTCAGCTATTAATATATAGCTCACTGACTATATCATTCAGATCTTCTATACCCTTACCTAATTGTTGGCTACCAGATCTGAGTTTCCTGAGAGAGGGGAATTAAAGTCTCCCATTTTTATTATATTTCTGACTATGTCTTTTTATAGTTCCCCTTGTTTTCACTTGATGAAACCTTTGCTTTCATCCAGGGCATCCTTTCTTTATGTTGATGTAAGTCTTCCTTCAATTTAGGGAAGTATTCCTGGAATATATTTTTAATTGCTTGTTCTATTATTTTGGATTCTTTGTAGGGAAGGGGGAATTCCAATTATGTATATTAGACATGTATTGGATTCCCTTGGCCTACATTTTATTTCTATCCTTTCTACTCTAATCCTTTTTATCTTTTCCTTTATATTTGTTTCTTTTTATTTGCATCTTCCAAGTTTTATTTTCTCTGTCCCATACTGTGCTTTCTGCTGTGTCTATTTTCCGTAGAACACCTAACTGTGTCTTCCTCCTGTTTTACAGAAATGTTTCTGTAACACATTTTTTTCCTATTCCATCTTAAATTCTTCCAGTTCCCCTTTCTCATTCTTTTTTTAAAATTATATTTAATTTTAAATTCCATTTAACATACAGTGTTAGATTAGTTTCAGGTGTACAATATAGTGATTTAACAATTCCATACATCACCTGGTGCTCATCACAACAAATACACTCCTTAATCCCCATAGACTTACGTTTTTATCATAGTATCATATGTATGTGTATATTAAATATAACATGCTTTACTTTCAACAATATGCATTTATACTCAAAATTTTCATATTCAATTTTAGTAAAAATATCTATCAGCACAATCTCAGTTTAGTAATTAATAAGTATTTTTTATTATGTTATGTTAATCACCATACATTACATTCATTAGTTTTTGATGTAGTGTTCCATGATTCATTGTTTGCATATAACATCCAGTGCTCCATGCAGTACGTGCCCTCTTTAATACCCATCACCAGGCTAACCCCTCCCCTTCACCCCCCTCCCCTCTAGAACCCTCAGTTTGTTTCTCAGAGTCCATAGTCTCTCATGGTTCATCTCCCCCCTCCGATTTCCCCCCCTTCATTTCCCCTTTCTCATTCTTGTAGCCTTCCCTTTTACTGTCCTATCCTTTCCTACCTGAGTTCTTATAATTCTATCACTATGACTACAATTTTTTTTAAAGATTTATTTATTTATTTGACAGAGAGAGAGAGTGCACACAAGTGGGGGAAGGGACAGAGGGAGAGGGAGAGAGAGAATCTCAAGCAGACTCCCTGCTGAGTGTGGAGACCAAAGCAGGGCTTGATCCCATGA